CTCTCTCTCTCTCTCTCTCTCTCTCCTTTGTCGAGAAACAGACAAGGGAACGAGAGAATACCGGGTGAATGATTAGGTCAGCACTCGGTTAGGGATAAGCTGCAGAGTCGGTTACCAGCATATGCAGCATACGACTCTACTTACACACATACAAACGCATATAGAAGCAACTCGCCTTAGCCTCTAACCGATGTACGAAACGATCGTAATCATCCTAATTTCTTCGCACCAGGAAAAACCTTCTTCTCGCTTATCAGCAACCAAAACACAGAGAGAGAGAGTAAATTTTTACCATAGAAATTATCGAAGAGACGGTGAGGAGAGGCGGCGGAAAAAGCATCGTAGGACAGGAACTGTGACTGATCAGACGACCTCAACATCTCCATTGGCGACAGCGAAAACGTCAACCAGCTCATCGGAGGAGAAAAAAACAGGTTTTCTAATTGTTTTTTTTTCTCTCGTTCGTCTTCGGGTAAATCCTGTGAGATTTTAGTTGAGAGAGAAAGGGACGACTAAAAATCTTGTCTCTTTTTTTGGCTCTGCATAAACAGACAAGAAGTTTTACGAAACCCCAGATAAGACCAGGACAGAAAAGCGTGTGTGTGTTTTTCTTGGTGGAGATCTTCGATTCGAAACCTGATGAAGCGTTTACACGAATAGCTTCAGAGCTCGTGCACTTCGGACGAGAGCATACTGATATTTAATGTTAAGGACGAGGATCAATGACAGAAGATCTTCGACTTAGAAAGATGGAAGCTCTGATGAGATTCATAGAGCAATGCATGAGAATCCATTTGTGAAACAGTTGGAGAAGAAGAAGCAGAAGATCTTAAAGAACTGTCTGAGTCCGGTTATTATAAAGACGTGAGGAAAATAAAAAAGAAATTGAAAATAGAAAAACCAGTTGCAGGAGAGAGAGAGAGAGAGAGAGAGAGAGAGTATTTGTAGTGCGGGGTATAGTATTAGAGTATGAGCGGTTTCTAAATTCTTCTCTGTGTTGTTTTTTTTTTTGTTAAAAATGATTTTAGAATTTGGAAAAAAAACACACCCCCTTTTATGCCTGATGCGACACATAAAATATCATTATATATGCACCTCCAATTATCTTAAATTGCAATTACTGTAACTATGACTAAAAGTGTATAATTATAAGAATTAAAGGTATCCACTAATCCACTATACATGTAGCAGAAGGTTCGGAATTCATACTAACTATGAACGCTATACAATATATGAACGTTCAAAACCAATTCATTCTGTCGCTAATTTTTTACTAAGAAATGACACAAAGGCATATATACATCAACATCATATCATTAATTTTATTTTTAACCATTATTGTTTTTTTTTATTGTAATATATCTTGTGTCCAATGGGTTCCTCTCGGTTTCACACTCCACTTGCCGTCCATGCACACCTTTGTCCCCACTTGAAAGATCCAATGGGTATAACTCCCATTCGATTCCATTCTCCACTCACACGTTGGAAATCTCTAATCCTTAATTATTCACCATACCATGGATGGTTCATAAAATATTGTTATGGGTCTATTTCTAAGGAATGATTTTAGATACTATGGCATGACAAAAAAAAAACAAAAGTGGGTCATGTTATTACTTTTAGGAATCGTGTTATAAGAAAAAAAACATTTTTGTTCAATTTGATATTGAGTTGTATTTCAATAGTTTTGTAACTATTTTAAATTCGAGGATAAAGACAAGGGCGAGGTGGATGGTGAAATGATATTATTAGGGTGTAAATAGTTATATGTATATATATATACATAGCACTAAGATGGGTGTTTTGGAAATCGGATCGAATTTGGAACAGAAATGTATCGATTCAGTTTTATAAAAATAGATATCAATCGGTTTTATATTATGTTCGATTCGGTTCGGTTTCGGTTATGATGTTTATTAAGAAAAGATAGTTTTGATGAAAAAAATAGTTTTTTTTAAAATTTAATTTGGTTCCGAAAAATTCGATTTTATAAAAATAATATGATTTGAGAATTTAAAATGATTCAAATAAAAAAAATATCATATTTTTTCGTTCGGTTCCATACAATTAAGTGGAGATTACAAAGAAGTAATAATAATAGCTCCGATTTTTGGGTCAAAAGCAACGGTCAATGGCTCCGTATATTGAGCCCTCTTCAGTCACCTTTTTTCTTTATTCTCCCGAGCCCATATGGAAAACATTTTCTAAAAAATAAAATATTTTCCAAAGGAAATGTGAGAGCGTGAAAAATAAAATTTAAAACCGAAATAATAATTTTAAAAAACA